ACTTGTTTAATTAATTTTCACTCATTCTTTTAATATGTGTATATTAGTTATTTCATGTTGTTATTCTTTGTGGTTTTTCACAAGTTTGTTGTGTTTAGCTTGTGGAAGTGTGTATGTGTTGTAAAAGTTTTTTAGATGTGTAAATAAGAATAGTGTAGGTGATTGTGGAGGTTACTTTTAGACTGCAAGATTGTTGTCCTAATTTTTTGCTACTGGTGTAGCGCGCTTAGCGCGTGTTTTGGCGCTTAGCGCACTCTGCTACGATTAGCCAGTGAAGTCTTTTTGTTTCACTTGGCTCCCCATTTTCCCACTTTCACCAAAGCCTTATTGTAGTAATTAACATTACTATTATTTTTCTAATTCTTTTGTTGATTGTTTAAACTCTAATTTTGGTCTGGTAATTTAAAGAATTTTGAGGTAATGTTTCCAGAGTTTGAGTTTTTCAACTTGCAGATGTATGGTAATGATAATTTTCAAAGTTGGTATATACCAGGTACTCATTTATTGCTTTCTATAACATAATATGTTTAGGAAAATTTTCGTTTGTATAATTACTATACCATTCATTCTTTTTTCATTACTTGCATTTGATTGAATCACTTTAGTTCCCTTTTTACCCATAAATGTGAGGAAGTTTTCCATTATTCATATATGTTGGAGGCCACAATTCTTGTTTTAAATAGATTTCATTATGTTTAATCTTTTGTTTGAATTAATTGTATGAAAGAATAAAAGTAATCAAGGAATTTTGAGCAAAACTACCTTAGCCAAATAGTCAATTCATCTTGTGAGTGTGTGATCATTAGTAACCCCTTTGAGCCTTTTTGTCGGTGTCCATGTTGTTTTTGCTAAATGTTTGTCTATGAGTGTTAGGTTCATCTTTTCGTATGGATATTGATTCTTTGTTTTCTTGAACCCTCCACTATTATTTATGGTTCGAATTTTTACCTTGTCTTAGAAAGTAGGGAGTATTCACATTATGATATGGTTGAATTCAAGTTGGGGAGATAAATGTTTATGTGCTTATGTTGTGATTTCTATGAGGTTGTAAACTAAAAAGAAAAAGGGAAAAAAAGTAATTGTGAGAAAGAAAAAGAAAAAGAAAGAAAAAATTGAAAAAGCTTTGAAAAAAGAAAAACAAAAAGATTTTGAATAGTTGTGCAAATAAGTATTGTGATTGGTTTGAGAAATTTGGAATGAAGAAGAAGTTCGATTGAAATTGTGTTGCTTGAGTTTTTGTGAGTTGATCACTCCCTTAGGTTTAGACAATTTTTTGTTTCGATTAGTTTTAAGACTTATCTCTTGTTTTTTAACTAAGTCACATTACAGCCTTGAAAATCCCTTGTGATTCATAACTTTATATTTTCAATATGAGATTTTGGACGAATGCTTAATTTAGTATATTGTTTGCAAGATTGTGGATGAGTGTTTTTATTGCTCACCTTTGTGTGTTCTTTATCTACCGATGAATTTTTGCTAGGTGTGATTCATGATTAATCTTGTTTTGTTTTAGAATGTTTTGTATTATTTTTGTACTTAAGATTCTTTTTGTTTACATGTTGTCGTTGTAGGATAGTGATAAGTATTTACTTTGCTTGTACGTTTTCATTTGAACTATACATTTATTTTCCATTTTAAAAACTTGTTGATTCATGATTCTTTAGTTTGTTATTTTTGTTCTTTGAGTTGTTTGGCCTTGTTTGAGAACAAATAAGTTCAAGTTGGGGAGAGTTTGATAAGTTCAAAAATGTCTTTATTTTGTGTATATAATTTGTCGCACTTACCGGTTCTTTTGTTAATATTCTTTGAATAATTCTCCGCTTTTGTGTAAATATGTATACTTAGTATATAATTGTATTTATGATTTATTTATGTATCGTTTGATAGTTTTAATGACTTTTCGTAGGTATTTTCATGTATTTGGAGCATCGAGCAATAAGGTGTCGAAGGCACGACTTTGAATAGGCATTTTTGGACAAAATAAGGAATTCTCGAAGTTCCAGATTGGGCTTAGCACGGTAGCAACAAACGTGTTGAGTGTCCAGATAGAGGCGAGCATGCTTAGTGCGGTATTTGGCGCTTAGCAAGCTCTAAGGTGGTTTAGTGAATAAATGAAGGCGTGCTTAGTGCGGTATTTGGCACTTAATGCGGTCTGCGATTTTTCAGTTTTTGGGTAAATAGCTTAGAACATATTTTTTAGGTTTTTTATCAACTCTTTCCCTCTTGGAGGAGCTCAGATCCAATTCTTTGTAGTTTAGAGGTTTAGGTAACATCATTGGGTGGTGCATCTTGTCGATTGGTTATGAGTTGTCTTGGATCGTGTTGACACCACGAGAATTTTCATCTCCTTCTTCCGCATGTATCATTCCAATGGTGGGTTTTGTATGTATATCTTTACTCTTTATGTATTCACATTTGTTGATCATGAGAGTGTATGAAATCTCTTTTACAAATTAATACCAGTGTTTGTTCTTGATTTTTTCTTTATTGCAGAGTTTTAGTTTGTCGTAGACATATGCTTTCTAAATCTATTTCTTGAATTAATATCTATTAGGTCATAGACTCTAGACATAGATTTAGGCTTAATATTCATGTGGGTATCGGTTATGAAATGCATCCGAGTTGTTTGAGTTGCGTGCGAAATCGCCTTCGAGAGCAATACGAGTGATGCCTCAATTTGTGTTAGAGATACCCTTAGTGTGAGTGATACGTGATGCTATTGACGAGTGATTTAGGTTGAGTGTAATTTATCTTTAAGTTTAAGTATTTGACGGGTAGAGTGAAATGCGATTGCAGAATGAATTCTCTTAAGCTACAGATAATTGTTTATCGCTTTATTTATTGCTTTATTTACTTTTACCGCACTTTTTCCGCAAACCTCTTTTCTAAACTTAGAAGGATTGAAACTGTTGAACGATAGTTTTTCCCTCTCACTAATCCATGTGGAGACGATATGATAAAACTAAATAAATACTTACTTTTGCTTTCCATTTTATCGCTTCAGTAATAACCAAATTTATTTTGATATGGTGCTTGCCTCTATTAATATTCATTTTGATTTCCCATATAATTCACCTCTTAATTTGCCAGAGGATACTTTCCTATAGTATGATCTCCATTTCAAATTTCAGAGTATGATACTTGTTGATATTTGTTTGGGACTTCTTGCATTTCCTTTAGCTGTTGCGAAAGCTTTGACATTTGTTTTGTAAGTTCTTCCACTTATTGAGATAATAATTTATTTTGAGCCAAAATTACATCATTTAAACCATAAAATTCAAGTTGGGCGGCTGAAATGGGGGAGGGCTTTAAGGATTTTATGTGACATAAATGTATCACTCAAGATGAAGGAAAAATTTTAAATGACTGCGGTAAGACCTGCAATGTTGTACGTGACAAAATAATAGACGCAAGAATAAAGTAAGTGTAGTAGAGATGATGATGTTATGTTGGATGTGTGGTAAGACTAAATATGATAAATATATAAATGAAAATATTAGGAAGAGAATTGCGATAACTCCTATAATAGAAAAACTCATGGAAAGTAAACTTGGATGGTTTTTGCATATAAAGAGAAGGATTGTAGATTCCTTGGTAAGGAGAGTAGATTCAATGTAGAAGATTCAAATCATTAGAGGTAGAAAAAGACCTAGAAAAACTATAACATAAATTATTAAGATTGATTTTGATATTAACAATTAGGATGTAAGTATGGTCCTAGATAGAATATTATGGCATAAGTTTATCCATGTAGCCAACTCCACTTACTGGAATAACATTTGATTGTTGTTATTGTTGTTATGTCACGTTAGGAACGTAAAAGTACCTAATGGTCTTATGACATAGACTCCTAAACGTACTAGTACTAACTCGTTAGGACCCAAATTGAGTTGGAGACCTAAACTTCCTTGTTAATCTTCAAGTATGAATGTATGGTTGTTAAAAAAGAACATTGTTTCTAGATAGTGGCTACTGAAGATATATGATAAACGATGCTTTGATGTTCATTGATTATGATCACAGAGAATGCAGTCAAGACACGTGTGGAGATAACGACCGAGGTAAAATATTAGGTGAAGGTATTGTGAGAAATCCATTCATACTTCGTAGATGGAGCTCTTTAGTCAAAGAGCTTAAACATAACCTCTTAAACATTAGTCAATTATGTGATAAAGGGTATTCAATTACTTTTAATACCCTGAGTTGCTTAATTGCTCATAAGAATGATAAGAAGCAAATGTTTAAGGGTTATAAAGTTGATAACATCCATTTGCTTAGCTTAGACGATGTTTCAAATAGCGACACAAAATATCTTGTCAGGATCAAGCAAAATAACTTATTGAGGCAGAAATGATTCCTTATACTGATCAAGCTTAATGGCCTAATGATGCGACAATGATTCCTGCTTAATGGCCTAATGAGGCGACAATGATTCCTTATGAAGATCATTTTCAAGGGGGAGGACCCCAACATCATCTTCATGGGAGAAGGTGAACCCGGGGTCTGGATCATAATTTGAGTCTAATTTTGGATAGGTGGAAAAGGCCTCTACGATCATGATTTGACTGACATATCTTATTCAAAAGGGATGGGTTCTCTGCCCTCAGTAAACCTTACGGCAATAGTATTAAGCGTATAGAGGATTGACATGTCCTCCCTTCCTTTCTATAAGTCTTCCATGACCTTATGTTTTATAAATTATGGATTGAGATAATTTTGATTGGAGTATAGAAGAAACGAATCTTAATCAAGACTTGAACGCTGGATCAATAGCTTCTTAACCTAGTTAACAATTATCTAGTGAGCTACCTCATCCACCTTGTCCAAAAATATTAATAAAGCAGTAATGTGATCATAACAACATGCATAAATTTTTTTTGCATTTAATTGAAAGCGCAAGCTAGGACCATACAATAAAGTAATAATAACATTGTAGAACCCAAATTGAAAAACAAAAACAACAATAACAACAAGAAAGCGATTTAACATAAGGAGTTTTATTAAAATAGTAGCACGTCACTAAATATCTTCTGGAAATTCAGAAATGAAGAACCAAATGGTCCTGAAGCAGCATCTATTGCCAATTCTTTCCACCTCAATGCTTTCTCTTTCATATCTTCACCCTTTTTCCCGTCCATCAATTCTCTAACAAGTTTCTCAATCTTATCCCTCTTAGCATCTTCAATCTCCAAACCGATCCCCCATTCATGACAACTAAATCGGCAATTAGTTTGTTGTTCGGCAAAGAAAGGCCAACATATCATTGGAACACCACCACACACACTTTCCAACGTTGAATTCCAACCACTATGTGTCAAAAAACCTCCAATTGCTGAATGATCCAAAACTTCTTCTTGTGGACACCAACTTGATAACATTCCTCTATTCTTTGTCTCTTCCAGAAACTCTCGAGGAAGAACTGAGTTTTCACCAGCAACAAGATCTGGTCTTATAACCCATAGAAATGTTTTCTCGCTATTAGCAAGTCCCCAAGCAAACTCAATTAATTGGTCATTTGTCATCACAGTGACACTTCCAAAATTGACGTAAACAACAGTGTTTGGTTCTTTGCTTTCTAGCCATTCTAAACACTCTCGTTCTTCTTTCCAAAGATTCGAACCAATTGAGTTCAATTCCTTATCAGTGACATCTTTAAAAAGAAAATTTAACGGACCAATGGAATAGACCGGAGGTAAATTATTAATGGATGAGAATGCTTCTAAAACGTCGTGTTCTAAGGCATCAAACGTGTTTAAAATGATTGCTGAAGCTTTTAGAGCTCTTTCACATTCCCATAATACAAAATCAACCATAACATCATTTGGGTCTGTAGTTCTTATGAAACTCGGAATGTCCTTTAGTCGTATTTCTTTAATGCCTGGCACCCAATCGATTGTAGTATCCAAATAACCACTTGTAATATAACTTGAATCTACATATCAAAAATAAAAAAAATCTTTATCTTCGTTTAATATCACAATTCATATTTATAAAGCACAAACATTTTTAGTAGACATCTCGTGGTATTTGACACTTGTATATCATATGTCATAAAGGTAAGATAAATATCTGATACCTATATATCGAACATACAATACGTGTTAGACAATTGAGACACTCGTATGTTGAACATATACCACATGTCAGAAAATTCAGATAAGTGTTTTTAAAAAAAAATATTTTTTCTACTTTAACACATTCTACATTTTTGGAACAAATCATACACACATCTAAAAAAAGAATATATGATTTAAGTTTCACATGAACTATTGTAAAATGGTAATTAATATTTTTTCTTACTCAATTTAATTTTAAGAAGATGAGACAAAAAGAGTTGCAATATGCAAGCAAAAAAAAGTTAATCACGGAATAGACATGGGAGTAATCGGAAATCGATATCTTTGTACCTTTAAGTGGTGTAAAGCCCTTTTCAATTAACATACGATATTGAAGGTAACACATGAAGCCACAAGCACTATTTGTCCAAAAAAGCACAGCAGGGACACTCAGTTCTTCAGCGGCATCTAAAGCAAAACTCATAATACCATCAGCAACTATGCAAGTAACAGGAGGGATGTCTACAGCCTTATTGAGGTTAGATATAAGTTTTTTGAGGTGAGGGAGGCATGTTTTCCTAGTTGAGTCACACAACGAAGGTACATCCTGTGTGACATCCACATCGGACTCAGGTAGACCATCAGGAATGGTTTCAAATCGGAAAGAGGAAAGACCGTTTAGAGAATCGGAACCTCTGGAATTGAGAAGACGTTTGTGATTGTATTCAGTGTTAACAAAGGTGACATGAAAATCACCTTTGAAATGAAGAAGTTTAGCTAGTTTAAGCATTGGGTTTATGTGACCTTGTGCTGGATATGGAACACACACAACATGTGGTTTGTTCTGAGTTTTTCCAAAAGAACCCATTATTTTTTTGTGTTTACTTTTATTTTCTAAATGTAGTAATATTAGTTTCTTACACAAGCTTTTATAGAAGATTGAATGTAAGAGCACCGCTATCTCAGGAGTCCGCCAATCTGGCAATCGTCTTCAGTAAACAACGGAACTGGGCAGCACTTCACGTTCATATGTACAAGTCAGAGATATAACTTACTACAAATAAATATCCTAGTACAATAGAACTAATAATAAGTTGACATTTCTGATATCAAGACAAGATATCACAATTATTGAAGGTTTAATTTAACTTGCACGTTTTATTCAATTCATTATTTTACAAGCAGGTGTTGGAGAAAATTTGCACGACTACTATTTTCCTATACATCATGAACCGGAGTGGAAGAACCAATTAGTGGTTGGACCGGTTTTTTCTTTAACCCTAAATATCACCATCAAGCGAACATCCCGGTAATGGCGGACTTAAAGTTTATTTTATGTACGAAGCTTTGAGAGATTAGCATCACAGATTCAATCTACAATAGTTTAAAATAATGTCACTATTAGAATTACAGAATATACCTGCGGAAAAATATCCGCAGCTATTCAAGCGGATTTTCCTGCGATTTTGTAAAATTAAATAAATATTACTCCGGAACTTGCGGATTTTGCTGCGGAAATAGTATCCTATACTAAAAACAGAATTAGATTTAGAAACTGCAGGAAATTTCTACGGATTTTACTGATGAAATTATGTTGAATAAAACACTAACTCCTTTAAAAAATCTGAAGATAAATTCGCATGAAGCATTTGCTGCGGATTTTTTTGCAGATACTTTTTGCATTATCTTGTAATAATTTATAAATTATAAAATAACGAAGTTTTATTTTCTTTTAAAATAAATGTTTTTACAGTAAATTTTAATAGATGTAAATGTATACGAAAATTAATAGTAATTTGTTTTTTGAAATTTAACAATTTATAAATTAGTTTACAATTCAAACTTAATTTTTAAAGATAATTTTAGTTTTAAATTTTAATTCGATTCTAAATTTTTTAATAAAATAAAGTTATGAAAATTTTGATATATATATATATTAGAGTTTAATGGTAGTACATTGTAAATAATTATTACATAGACATTAAATCCAAATATCTTAAATATTAAACTATTCAAATAATTTAAAATTTATACTCTGATTCGGTGAAATATATAATTACTTTTGTTGACATTGTAAAAATAATTTACCTTGTCAATATAAAATAAAATTTTAAAATAAAAAAAATAAACCATGATAAAATCTTCTAAGTCTATTTTACTATAATAAAATAATAAATGCATAATTGGGATATTAAAAAAATATTAATTTTACTTAATACTTTTTTTTTGTATAAATTAAAAATATAAGCTTATATATAAATATAATTTTTGTATGTAATTCTTCAATTTGTAAATATTTAAAATATAAGTTTATATTAAAAATAAATTTTCAATTTTGTTTTGTATTTCTCATTTATTTAATATATATTTTGTGTTATAGGAAATTATATTTACTATCTTGTTAACTATTATAAAATAATATATTTATAATAATATAACGTTTTTTAGCAATAACTATTTTTTGAAAGAAAAAAATACACAAATAACAATGTTTAGGAGAAAGTTACACAAATAATCATGTTTTCATTTACCTGTGAATTTTCCTACAGATTTGACATTACCTACAGACTTACCTGTAGATTTTCCTACGGAATTATCTATGGGAAAATTTTCTGCAGGTAAATCCACAAGTGAATCCGTAGAAAACATCAAATCTGCAGTTAAATCCCAGATAAATAGAAAAAACTGAAAAAATAATTAGGAGATGGCTATTCGTCATCTCACTTGACGTATCCTTTAAAAAAAATAGGAGATGGCTATTCGTCATCTCACTTGGCGTATCCTTTAAAAAAAATAGGAGATGGCTATTGCATTATAACGTTTTCTGAAATATGGTCATTTGGATAAATTTCTCTAAAACATGGTTATTTATGTTTTTTTTAAAACATGGTTATCGCTGGAAAAAAATATATAATATAGCTAAATAACATTGGCAAAACAAAATATATATTTTTTTTAAAAACAACCAATTTTTGAAATTTTAATATTAAACTAACCAATATTTCACAATAATTTCCAATCTAACCATATTTCTAAAAACAAGTGAATTCAAGAGGAGGCGCCACTTGAATTGAGAATTTTTTTTTGGAATAACCAGGTATTAAAGTTTTTTTTCGCAAATAACCATGTTTCGGAAAAAATTACGCAAATAACCATGTTTCAGATGACTCCCCAAAGGAGGAGCCATCTCACTTGGCGCCTACACTTGCTTTTTAAGGGGAGACGCCATCTCACTTCGCGCCTAGGTTCTTAGGGCTTGCCCTAAGCCAAGTGAGATGGCGCCTTAGTGCATTTTCTAGGGAAATTTTCACGTTTTTTTTCAATCTGGTGCGTTACGTATTCGATATAGGATCAACAAAATTGACTTTTTATATACAAAAAATGATTACACCCATAAGTATTACATAAAAAAAACAGATTAATCAGTGGTCCTCCAGAACCCAATAATGACCCCCGGTTCCGCATCCCCGTCCTCGCCTTTCCCGTGCTGGGTGTCGTCGCGTTTCCTGTTGTGGCAGTGTCGATGGCCCAGTGAAGTCAATGCGTTCCGGATCCATGAAATCAGTCAGATCTCCATATCTAGAAGATCCGCTTTGGTATAGTCGGTTACCCATACCCTCAAAGTTTGGCCGTGTTGGTGGTGGGTGGGGTTCCATGGTTGGTCTATAGCATTGATCGTCTGAGTACGGGGGGTAGAAAGGAAATGGATCTTGAGGTGTTTGGTATTGAGGATGTTGGGTGGTTTGGTGATATTGTGGTTGATGGTAAGTTGGGTCGGTTGGTTCATAATCTTCCGACATTCCCAGATCAGAGCTAAGGTTGGATGTTGAGGGGCCCATATTGGGATATACAGAAGACTGAAATTGTGTGTGGGGTATGCGAGTGTGTTGATATAGTGATTGGAATTGCGGTTGGATGTGAGGCATATGGGGGTATTGGTACTGAGGTGGTGATTGTGGTTGGTTGTGGGGCATTTGGGTATAATTGTATTATGGTGGCGACTGTGGTTGGGTGTTTGTGGTTCTGTTTCGTCTGGGGGGTTCATGGGAGGTTGATGTGTGTTGGGTTTGTTGGTGGGGAAATGCGGGTTGTGCCCATTGTGTTCGTGGGTCAACCAAGTACCTTGGATGAGACACGTGCATTTCAGGGTTACTAACCGACCTGTACCAAGATAAATACTGATTCGTGTGTCGCATATTACCATGATTGAGATGAATAGTAATAAATGATATAACTTGATGACTTACTTTGTTGCGTACGGGAAAACGAATATGTTGTTGTTGATGGGGTTTAGGAACTCCATCCTCCACCAATCCCAGACTTGAATTAAAAAAGCGCAGCCATAAAATATACATTTTTCCTTGATTGTATTTTTGCACAAGGAACTGTATAGGTGGGCTAAAACAGCGGAACCCCAACTATACTTTCTAGTTTTTTCGAAGTCTCTAAGTAAATTTAAATACATAAAATTTACACTATTTCCCGTACTTTCGGGAAATAAAAAGGTTCCAAATAGTATCATTAGATAAGTTCTAGCTTTTATTACCCTGTCTTGCTCGGAGGAATTTTCGTTTAATTCCAAAGTCGCATAATGATTTTTAAGCTCAGTTAGTAGTATACCCTGACCTCTCACACCACCACCTTCAACCATATCCCTGCCCAACAATTCTTCACACAAAGAATTGGGTTGTTGAACCGACCCGTTAACGGCCTTACCGTCGACAAGGAGACCCAGTAACATGTACACATCCTCTAGCATGACGGTACATTCACCTATTGGCAGGTGAAATGTATGGGTCTCTAGTCTCCACCTTTCCAACATTGCAAGTATGAACTTTGAATCAATTGCACAATTGGAGATCTTTATAACATGTCTGAAACCTGCGTATTCCAAATGTAGTATGCTAAATGGGTCGGGAGCAAGGTAGTTGTGAGACCGGATTCTGAATCTTTTGATATCCTGAGTTAATAATGTAAAAGGTGTAAGATTAAGTAAGATGAACAAAGAATTACCAGAAGTATACAAAATTTATAACTATAAAAGAAACTTACAAGTGCTGCAATGTTGTCCGTTGCGCCTCTGTGAGAATCGCTCATTGTGAGAAGAGCCATTGTTGAAAATGCCTGAGATTATGAAAGACTTATAAATTGTAAGAGATTATGAAAGAGTTTGTAGCAGAGAGTGAGATGATTGTGGGTGCGAGAGAAGTATGTTATGCTCTGTATTTATAGGCAAAAAAATTTCATAGAGTAAGTGAGGTGGTAGCTGGTGCATGCATGCATGATAAGTGTCACTCTTGCAGTGTAGGCGCAGGCTAGGTGGCAGCCTTGGAGAAGGCATCTCTGCATGCATGTAACACGATTGGACATGAAGGGAGGCGCAATTGGACTTGGTGAAAGAGTACAAAAATGAAAGGTGTCGCCATCCCCATTGGCGAATAAGAGGTGGCATGGTTTGCAGAGTAGGCGCAGGCTAGGTGACAGCCTTGGTAACACTATTGGACGTGATGGGAGGAGCCTTAGAGGTTACAGCATTAGTTAATTCAAATTCAGTATGACCTATTTAGTCTTATATTTATCAAAATACTGATTCACTTAATCTCTCAAACCTTCCAACCTTCAAACCTTCAAACAATCAAACTTTTAAACCTTCAAAGAATCAAACCTTCAAACCTTCGAATAACTCATAAACTTCAAACCTTCCAACCATCAAACCTTCAAACAATCATACGCAATGACCTCTGCACCCCAATATGTCATTAGTGCACATTTCAACAGTGAGACATACATTTGTCCCACCTCTGGGTTTTTGTTTAGAGACACAGACAACATCCGATTTCATTTAAACGGGAAAGCCAATTTCTTGTA